CAAAATGTGTATTCATGGTTAGGCTCATACTCAGCAGCTGCTCCTCAAAAACCTTTGCAGGTCATAACCGACTCAATAGCACTTAACAACTCTCCTTTGTGTTTATACAGTTGTTTCCTCTTTTTGATTCCTTTCTTTCTGCCTTAAGTTTGCAGGAAGTATTCTGGAGATGAAAAGCTTATGAATTGGTTTGGGGCTTTGTGGGTTTAAATTCAGCGCCTTAACCATGTGACCATTCCTGTAGAGTCTAAATGTTTGTCTTTACCCTATTTCATTAATCCTTCGTTTATCTTCATGCTTTGTATGACTGCCCTCATACCGGACCTCATCCACCATCCCAAGGGTCTTTGAAAACACAGCTTTAATCATGCTACTCTTACTGCTTTAAAACCTTCCATGGCAAGAAACCCTGGTGGCACAATGGTTAAGTACTCAGCTGCTAACTGAAAGGTTGCAGTTTGAACCCATCCAGTGGCTCTGTGGGAGAAATACCTAACAATCTGCTTTGGTGACCATTGGTGGTGGTGAGCCAGGGAGTTGGTTCCAACTCTTAACGACCCTGCGTAGGGTTTCTGAAGCTGTAAATCTTTACAGAAGCACAAAGTCTCATCTTCCTCCTGCAGAATGGCTGGAAGTTTTTAACTGCTAACCTTGAGGTTAGCAACCCGACTCATAACCACTATGCTACCAGAGCAGCCAAGAAAAAATTATGGGGCAGTTCTACTCCATTACATGGGGTTGCAGTCCACTCGATAGTATTCAACAGTAAAGGTAATAATTACCAACGTAACTTGTAGGAATTAAAAATCACCTTTTTTTTTTCTTACACCTTTAATGACTCCTTCATTGCTATAGGATTAAGTTCACATTCTTCACCTGTGTGTTTTTCTAGTCATTCCTCCAGAGCATATTATATAAGCTGTTAGCCATTCAGGCTAATTGAAAAACTGGACGGAATAAATGTTTTCCCCAAATTGTAAAATAAATAATAATCATAAGATGATGGCTGAGACACGGTTGAGGGGTGAATATGTGTGGGAAAAGGGAAAGGCGGGAAAGAACCATTATTCCCTGGCAAAACTCAGTCAGATGTAGAATGGCAATATTGTGGTCCAGATGACTCAAATGGCTTAGAACAGGACCCCAGTAAAAAAGCTGCCCATACAGGGAGGTGCAGGTAAGCCAAGATTCATAGAGGTTGACAGGAACCGATGCAAAGGACTACACATGAGGACAAGGAAAGTGGCATGCAGTCATATTTTTTCTGAACCCCCTAGTACAACAGATGTTTAATAAATGCTTTTGAATGAACAGTGAATGAAGTTCTACAGAAGTTGAATTTGTGTTATCTGTACTATGCTGAGATGGCTGTGATGCCACAAGAAAACAAATTCTTATGCCAAACAGACACACTGAATTAATTCTGTACAAAATGGATCCATTTTCATGCAGGTGCCATGTGTTGTTTCCTGGATCAGTGGATTCGATTGTTTCATGCCATATTTAGAGATGGTTATAAAAAATTAGTTTGCCTCTTGCTTTTAAATTTCCTGTGCCTAATTTATGCCTTTTATTTTCCATTCTAGTATTTCTATTCAGAAGCTTTCCAGTGAATCTCGCTACATAATTTATGAGTTCTGGGAGAATAGTAGCGTATGGAATCGGTAAGTTAGGAGCAGGGGTGATTTTTATGAAACAAATAGGCCACAATATTCATATGATGTGATTTGGGGGCATGTAGGAAAAACTCCACTCCCTTTACCTTTCCTCAATAATATCTTTCTTATTTACTCATTATTCTGACTCCCACTACTACACATTTAGGAATATTTTTCACGGATTGGAAACCACTTTCCCCTTGAAGCATAGATACTTGTGATATTGCTTCCACTTCAAAGCTTAACCATTTTACTGATGCTTTAGGTAAGATTTAGAGGCAGGCAGTGGGTGTCTCCAGGACGAGAGAAGAATGTAGAAATGACCAGAAAAAAATCTTTACCTACAAAATTTCCGTAATCTATGAGGAGCTCTGGTAACGTAGTGGTTACGAATCGGGCTGTGAACCGCAAGGTCAGCAGTTCGAAACTACCA